CAAGGAACATAAAGTGTATAAACTACCAGAACTTGGACGGTCCAAATAACCGATAAATTTTAATGTGCTTGAAGATATTTCCACATAATCTTCGTTCTGTATACGATCGTTCAATTTTTGGTATCTGCATCATGGTTTTTGAAATTTGGACAGATGATAGCAGTGGATACGAGAACCTGTCTGGAAAAAGGCAGTCTCCACTGAGTAGCCTTATTTTAAACTTGGGAAACTTGTCTGATTTCAAAGCAAGTGTGCTTGACTTGGAGGGCAGCATTTTTGTAGTTTACACACGGGATTCAAAATGTCTGTATTCATACGAGATTTCACATGTCATAGCTTTGCAACAATACACTTTCCATAAAATAAAACATTTTAAATACACGTAAAATTAAGGTCCTCAAAAAAGATTTTGGAAGTAGAGCTTTTTCATTGGCGAAGAACTGTTATGCGGAATATTTTATCCTGTAAATTAAGAGAACCCTTGTAATACTGGAGCGAATAAAAAAAAGCGGAAAAAAATAGGTGCTACAGTATGTATTTGTTGTTATGACATCCACCTATAGTAGTATTAGGTAGAACTTAGTTGGTGACCTGTTATTTTTCAAACGTTTTATTTTTGAAAAATAAAAGGGATACTTGGAAACGATATTTGCTTTACGGTTCTTCAAACCTTCATACCTCGGGGAGGCGGAAAGTACCCCCTCAGCTAAGTGCATTAACATTTAGGTTGGTTCATCGTTTTGCAGTTTATGTGCCACCATTAGAACCTCATTCTTGCAGCATAGCAGTAATATAATTCTGACTTATCAGAGGTGTGTACTGCACTTATTTAATTCTTATACCGTCATTTAATATTATTCTACGTTTCTTTTATTTTAGCAGTGATGTTGCTTCAAAATGCTTATAGCGGAAAACCTAAAGCATCATTTTTTGTGAAGTTTTTTTTGCAGTTCTTATATACTGCAGTCTTACGTAAGCTCTCCGATAGTATTTCAGAAGATTTTAACAAATTTTTTTCTTGAATCGGGTTTACAAAATAGATACTTTTTTTTTGAAGACGATATTTGAGCTAAGAACGAATAGTTTTTATTTTCAGAATGCAATAAAGTGACTTATTTTTTTAGTTGTCTAGTTTTGGAAAAATTATTGCTATACATTACATTCAACAACAATATTTCATAGTGCTATCGAGCTCAGAAGGAAATTCTGGTAGGGAGCACTCCGAGTACATCAGGGATTAGTTTTTGACGTCTTGATATAGGGATCTTGGTGTCTGAACGTTAAAGCACAGAAATGAATGAGCTGCAAATCTTGCCAAGCAGTAAAATTAAGGTTTTATTTCAACGGGGGACTTGTAGAGAAGTGTTGATAAATAATAGTTGTTTGGATTATATGCTTATTTATCTGGTCAATCTGTGGTGCTATCAAAAATTTTATCAAATATGTATACAGTACAACACATAACAAATGTTAGAATATGCAGCAATTGTTTTTTTTTTTGTCACCTTTAAACGCTCAAGTCATTCTGACTTTAGAGCCAGAAACGCCTCTACTGTTGGAAATTTTCTTTTTTATAGTATGCAGGTTTTTGCATTACAGTTCTTTGACAAGAAGTCAAGTTTTTTGTAGAATTTATTTTCTTTTATCTGCTTCTTTAATTTTTTTTTTCTGTACGTTTTATCAAAAGTATACCGTTTCAAAACTATAGCGCATAGCAAATTGTGTTGACCTTGATTTGTGAATTGCAAAGACAATACTACTGCAAATGAGAAAATTTTAGCATTAGACGGAAGACAACTTGAAGGGGGGATTTCTTTCGAAAGTAAACTTTTTTCTTTACAACGTAGTGCTTGGATCTGTCCCCTACAAGTTTTTGAAAAATTCTTGGCAGAAGTCTTCATTACTGTTTGTTTAAAATGAAATGATTGTGGAACTTGTTTCCCAATGTTTCAGACAGCTGCTCTGGAGGTTGAAAATCAGATTTACTTCCTGGGAACTCTTGTACTGCTCTAAAAACTGGGAAATGTTTGACCCTTATTTTATACTGCTTTGTAAAACTGTTATTTTGAGATGTTATAAATTTCTAATTCTGGAAGTCTGCAGCACTGGTTTTTTCGTCTTCACTAGGCCTGTTGAAGACGGAAGGAACAGCACGGAGCCGAGGACTCAGTAGGAGTTCGCTTACGGAGCTTTGAGGCAAGTGAAACTTTATTAGTCGTGAGTGGTATATTTATTTGGAAAAGGTCCCTTAATTTAAATGAATTTCTTTTTTACGCGATTCTACGGTACTATCGAAAGTGCAGGACTGTATTAGCGAAGAAGGCATTTGGGTGTAGAGAGAAGTGAATGGATTTTTTGAGGTGTAATGCGTGAGCGGAGCAGTACTGAGGATTTTATACAGAAAAGATGGAAAACTCGTAGGAGAATGATGTTTGAGGTGAAAAAAAACAAGTAATGATTTTTCTCCTCAGTTTTTCCGTCCTAGTATTTACATATTTTCAACAGTAATGTCGCCTAAAAAGTAAAAGGTCAATTTGAAGTGGTTTTCTGAGAAAAGGCGACTAAGCCGTAGGATAAAGAGAAACTTATACTGGACATTCTTACATTACTCTATTAATAATCAAGTACTGCGACTGGAAAGTTAGTCGTTTTCAGTCGTTATTCTAGTTGTCTTTGAGAAGTCAAGCATCTTGAAGTGTCACTCCAGAGAAGATCCAGTTGAACCTCATACATTGCCAATATGCAACATACTGCTGTCCAGCTCGAGATTTGAAAGTTTCCTCTTTTAACTCTCCGAAGGCACATTAGGGAAGGAGAAAAAAAGTGGTCTATATTTTGTAACACTAGCGAGGGTTGGTCGTCCGCTAGATTTTTACAGAATGCTAACCATCGACAAGGACTTCTTCTGAGTCTTGACTTTTAATTTGGATTCTTACGTTTTGTTTGACTTTGAATTACTTTCAGTTATACGTAGGGCCTGGAGAAGGTAACTTTGAAACCAAGTTGGGACTTCTGTCCCGTCGTTCAAGATCTGGAAATGTTTCAATTATATTTTTTCTATTTTAGTTATTGTGGAAAAAAACCTTGTAAAATTTTTTAAAACTTTTTCCAAAGCGACTTATTACGGTTAATATTTATTTGCTCTACAACGGCATCTAATCCTAAATTGGAGTCTGCATACTCACCCAATGTCTGAATATGCTTCTGAAACTGGAAAAGCAATTAACACAATGCCGAAAGAACAGGAAGGTCTGCAGTGCTTTGTGAGCAAAAACTGTCTCCTCTTCCAGTTCTTGCTCCCAACAGTCGCAACAGATGCTTTCCAACTTTCAAGGAGGCTTCTCTCCGCGCTGCCGCTTTCAGGCTCCACAGTAATGAAGCATTTGCAAAGGCAGCAGCCATATTATGCGGAGTTGTATCTCTAGTATTTAGAACATTGGTGGAAGTTTAAAAGCGCTGTAGTCTTTTGATACTCAAACTTAGGTCACCCTTAGAACTCATTAAAAGAACTGACGACATCTAGTGACATCTGATATTAATGGCCAATTGCCAAATCACTAAGAGATGGTTATTTTTAAGATAGGTTATTGGTAGATAAGTAGACTTATGAAATTGTTGCAATTTAGGACTGGAAAAATGGTAGTGTAGCGATGCGTTTGAGTAAGGACTATGTTTTTTACAGGTTGAGCAGATCGAGTTTTGCTGCAGTCATTTATATAATTCAATTATTAATTTTAAATTCATCTATATTGCTGACATCTAAATGCGCAATAGATTTTCCAGGCTCTCAGTTTAAGACCATGGTTTTAAACTAATTAGGAAAATATTGAACGGATCTACTAAGGCTTTGTTTTATTTAACGCAGATGAACGGTCTTTTCTATAGCAGACACAAGTAAACTGCCATTTGTATGACGTACGCTGAGTCATTTGATTGTATATTTTGAGTCAAGTTTTTGGGTTGTTTCTGCTATGGAAATAACGGAATAGCGTAGTATAAGGTAGTGAACAGTTTCCTCTTATGTGGACATATTGTGTCTGCAGTTTCAGTATAAATTTTGGCTGATGGCATCAGATGGTACAGTTCCTGAAGCTTCCGGTCGTACAGTGAAAATAGCATGTGAACAGCTACGCATCAAACTCAAAGATTGTATAAAGGTAGAATTTATTTCAGTTTAGTACTCACTAGGAAAAAATTATTAGTCTATAAATTTATGAATGAAAAAATGAGGGGATTATTTTAACCTTTTTTAAACGTAACAGCTCTTTAATCTTTTTTTGTTCGGATGCGTAGGTAAATATACTGTGCACAGCTAAGTTGAAAATTTTTATTTCAGCAGTCGGACTGTGTGCAAAAGTTTCATAGGCGTGCGGCGGACTGCGTACAAGCGAGAGATGGTACCGTCCCAAAATTGTGTTATGATCTCATGGAATCTTTTAGCGCTTGTAAAAGATCAATGGTTTGTCTTTTTCTTTGACATGCTTCTAAAAACTGTTGCTTATTTGACACAGTTTAGATGTGACTCTCATAAACTTTTTAATAGGTGGTTTTGAAATAACTTTAAGGTTACTCTCTTTAGTTATTGTAACTGATGTTTGAAGATTAAGCAGCGTTTGAGAGAAGTTTTCATTTCTGTTGTCTTAAACCATGTCATCGATGACTGCCCTTTTCATAGTTTCACTTTAAAAGCAGAAAGGAAGACGGAGGTGGAGAGGCGGTTAATTCTTGATAGGTAATTTCAAAATGAAATGTTTTTCCACTTCAATGGAACTTGATTGTAAATTTTGAAACCTGAAGACCAATAGCTTATATTTCATTCGTGAATTGTGAAATGTAACGGAGTCCAGCTGGTCACATTAATATTTGAAGCGAAGCATGTGCTTACCAAAACTTGCTCATTTCCATAAGGGCGTTCAGTTTGAGTTTTGATCATTAGCAGCGTTTCTCTTCTTTAGTACTTTTCGCATCAGTGAGGAAGAAATGCAACTACTACTCAAATATAAATGTAAATAAGTATGTATGTGTGTATTTATATTTATAGTTATAGTTATAGTTATATTTTTATTTATGTTTATATTTATGTTTATGTTTATATCTATGTTTCTTTTTTTATTAACGTATTTATTTGCTTATTTATTCATTTATTTATCTGTTTATTTATTTACATTTATATAAAGCTCACATTAAAAATTAACAAGCGTTTGGTTCCTCTCTAGTATACATTTGTTACTTTTAAATGCATAATTTTTAACTCAAAGAAGCTGCTTTATGTTCATCTTATACCAGTGAGAATTACTTTCATTCAGCTACTATCAGATTAAATGAAAAGAAAGAAAAATAATTATAGATCGATATGCGAGCGAGATTTCGTGGGTTAAAGGGCGAATAGAACTATGTGCTTGCTGCAGTCAAGTGATTATTTTTGAATTACTCGAGTGGTCACTCGTTCGTGTTGTTAACTGAACTATAGATTCTTTATACGGCATGTTGAATATAACTGCGAGAGGTGAAAGCAAAAATCTTATAGCATAAAGATTTGGTCTTTCAATTTAACCTTTACTGCTGTTGAAACCGAATAAGTTGCTTAGCTTTTAATTGTTTTTTTTTTTTTTTTTTTTTTTTTTTTTTT